CGATTGTAATAAAGGAAAAAAATGAAAATCAATGGGCCACTATAAACCAGAGACATCCTAGGAGGCAGAGAGGGGAACAGGATCAAAACTGGGGCGGGAAGAGAGCACAGGACTGTGGTGATGGCACAGGGGTGAGTTGGTGGTGGGACATCCACGGGGATTACAACTGAGATGAAAAAACTATACAAACTGAAAAATGATACACACACACACACACATACACACACAAAGTGTGCCATTTTCCTCTTTTTTATCACCCTCACTGTTTACAATGAAAACATAAGCTCTACTCCACACGTCTTCTTTCATGTCCCCAGCCTGGTGAAAGTCCAAGGCCGAGAAGCCAGCATCCCCACCACGTGTCCCTCTCCACGTGCCTCCTCCAAACGGTCACTCTAAAGAAATCAGTGTCATTTTCTTTGTCATTAAATTAATTAGCAGATGATATATCCAAAGTTTTGGAAATCAATAAAACAACTACACTGTTGATGTTTTATTTCTCTATTGCTTTCTGCAACTACAGGGAGAAAACTAACCCTCAAGAATTTGGCAAACATTAGCATTTTGCACTGGCATGTTAATTTACCCGTGATATTAACTATGTTGGTTAAAATCCTAATAAATGACATATAGTTGTTGTCTTTGTTTAGTTGGTTTTAATAGGAAGTAATGATCGCCTGAGTCCCTAAAGAGCTGTTCTGTGTTATCTGTGGGACATTTCAGACTACAGGGCTCAACTTCGAAATTTCTGGAAGGGCTGGACTGCGTGTGGGGTGAGTGGGGCTTGGCTGAAACTCACGGTTTCAGTTACAATAAATGAAAGTGTTAATGCAATGGCTGAAGGTTACTTTGGGACCCCACAAACTCGTATACAGGAGTTCTGTCATCTAGCAAAGACAAAGCACATGCTTAGTGTGAAAAAACTTTTGTTAGAAAAGTCTAGTCAGTCAGGGTTGGCTGCAAGTGGGGCTGCTGAGGCCTGAGAGCTGCCACAGTGGATGGCCACTTCCGTGAGGGATGTGTAGGAAGGGGCCGAGGGGCCAGGCCAGTCTGGGACAGAGTGGCCAAATCAAAGCACAAGTTACTATCACAGCTACCTATGACAGCCTCCCCACCAGTCTCTCCCTCACGCCTCCCTCAAGTGTCTCTACAGGCCTCGCTACAACTCCATGGCCCATCTCCTTCCATTTCTGCTAAATCCCTGGTGCA